CGGTCTTCCCCTGGCAGCGCAAGGGGGAGGTCCCTGATGTTTTGATCCCCTGGATCCGCGCTGTTCGTCTCCAGCTCCGCGAGCGGTTCCAGTCGGACTTTCCTGTCCTGCGTCTGCACTCTGACAGGGGTGGTGAGTTCTCCACAGACCTCTTGGAAGCCTTCTGTGCGGACCACGGCATCCACCGGTTCACGCTTCCGACCTCTCCGCAGCAGAATGGGGTTGCTGAACGCCGCACTGGCTTAGTCATGGAGGTCGCTCGTACCTCCATGATTCATGCGGCTGCCCCCCATTTTCTGTGGCGGTTTGCGGTCCGGTACGTCGCGCATCAGCTCAACCTCTTGCCCCGTGTCTCCTTATCGGAGACCTCGCCCACACTACGTTGGACGGGGAAGGTTGGCGATGCGTCGCGTTTCCGGGTCTGGGGTGCTTGTGCCTTTGTCCGCGATACCACTGCGGATAAGCTCTCCGCTCGCGCCATTCCCTGCGTCTTCCTTGGCTTTGTCCCTGACGTGCCTGGCTGGCAGTTTTACGACCCCGCCTCGCGCCGTGTCTTTCTGTTTCAGGACGTCACCTTTGACGAGTCCGTCCCCTTTTACCGTCTCTTTCCCTACCGCACTGCCCCTCGCCCCCCCCCCGCCGCTCTTTCTCGCCCTAGGTCCTCCCTAGGTAGACCCCCTCCCCGCGCCAGGTCCTGCTACTTCAGGTGTTTCTCAGGTAGACCCTCCCGTGCCTGCGCCTGTTGAGGTCACTGGTGACTCAGGTCCTGCTGGGGGTGGTGCTGTCTTTGGGGGTGCTGGGCCTGGGGGTGCGGATCTTGGGGGTGCTGAGCCTGGGGGTGCGGAGCTTGGGGGTGCTGAGCCTAGGGGTGCGGAGCCTGCGCGTGAGGACCCAGGAGGTGCTGAGCCGGGGGGTGCGGAGTCTGGGGGCGCTGAGCCTGAGCGTGAGGAGCCTGGAGGTGCTGAGCCTGCGCATGAGGAGCCTGGGGGTACTGAGTCTGGGGGTGCGACGCCTGAGGGTTCTGGGTCTGCTGCTGCGCGGTCTCCTTGGAGTAGCCGCCTTCGTCCGCGTGTGCCTCTCACCTCACAGCAGCTGCACGACTGGTACGGTCGCTGTCAGGGTCGCGCTTCTGGACCTCGGGGCTCTGCCACTGGAGGTACTTCTGCTGACGTCACTGGAGCTGGGAGTGGTGCTGGTCCCGGAGGTGCTCGTACTGGAGGTACTGGAGCTGCTGGGGCTGGAGGTGCTGCTAAGCCTGAGGGTGCTACTAATGGAGACCCTGGGTCTGGGGGTGCTGCTGCTGGAGACACTGAGGCTGGAGACCCTGGGACTGGAGGTGCCTGTTCTGGGGGTGCTGCTGCTGGTGGAGCTGGTCCTGGAGGAGCTGGCGCTGAGGGTTCTGGAGCTGCTGGAGGTGCTGGAGCTGCTGGGGGTACTGGAGCTGCTGGTGCTGGTGGCACTGCACAGCCGCGCCTGTTCTTCGCTCCACCGTCTCCGTCGTCTCAGCCACCGCCTGACTCTGTGCTTCGCCAGGTTCTTAGTCTCCCTTCGTCTACTGGTCGTTACAGCCTGGCTCACCGCTGCCTACTCCTTCACCTTACGCTGAGCAGACAGGGGGTCTTACTGAGCGTCGTGAGCCTGCGTCGCGTCCTGTCTCGCCTGTCCGTTCTGGTCGTTCCGGTCGTCGTGTTCCTCGTCCGCGTCAGCCGGCTGTCCCCGGCACCCCGTCATCCTTCCTCTCCTCCGCAGCGTGTTCCTCTGCAGTCTCCTCCTGCATTTTCTCTGCTTGTCGTTGCGGACCCTGAGTCTGACAGGTTTCGTGCTGAGCACCCTACTGTCACGCGTCTGCTAGCCACTGTTGTGACTGACCCGTCGTTTGAGTCTGCTGCTGCGTCTTCCTTTGTCGCTGAGCTGGTTGACTTTGCTGATGCCTGTCATCTAGACTACGCTGCTAGTCTTGTTGCTGAGTCTGAGTCTGTCTGTCCTCTGTCCGTCGAGGGTTATTGTGCTCTTGGCACGGACGTCCTTGAGGACAGACAGGAGGACCTTGAGTGTCTTGCGGCCGCTGCGCCTCATCTCGTGCCCATGCTGCTTGCCCCTGAGGGAGACACGGATGCACCAGACATCCCGACCCCGCGCTCTTACACTGAGGCGAACCCAAGTGAGTACTCCTCTTAGTGGCAGACAGCCATGGACGCAGAGATGGCATCCTGGAAGTCCACAGGCACCTACGTCGACGAGGTTCCCCCTCCTATCGTCAACGGCATGTGGATTTTCGAGGTGAAGCGGCCGCCAGGTTCTCCGCCTGTCTTCAAGGCTCGTTACGTTGCTCGAGGCTTCAGTCAGCGGGAGGGAGTTGACTTCTTCCAGACTTTCTCCCCCACCCCGAAGATGACCACTCTTCGGGTGCTGCTGCACGTTGCCGCTCAGCGTGACTACGAGCTTCACTCTCTTGACTTCAGCACAGCTTTCTTACAGGGCAGCCTGCACGAGGAGATCTGGCTGGGCCGCCCACCTGGCTTCACTGGGTCGTTCCCTCCTGGTACCCAGTGGAGCCTCCGGCGGCCGGTCTACGGTCTCCGCCAGGCGCCACGTGAGTGGCACGACACACTGAGGATGACATTTGCGGCTCTTGGGTTTGCTCCTTCGACTGCTGACCCGTCGCTGTTTCTGCGCACCGACACTTCGCTGCCGCCGTTCTACATCCTCGTACACGTCGACGACTTGGTCTTTGCCACTGCTGACACTGAGGCTCTCGCCCTGGTGAAGTCGGAGCTGCAGAAGAGACACACGTGTACAGACCTGGGTGAGCTGCGCAGTTACCTTGGCTTGCAGATCACCCGGGACAGAGCACGCCGCACCATCACACTGACTCAGTCACACATGGTGCAGCAGGTCCTTCAGCGCTTCGGCTTCACCTTGTCCTCGGCACAGGCCACTCCTCTGGCTACAGGCCACTCGCTCTCAGCTCCACCTTCGGACGAGTCCGTAGAGCCGAGTGGTCCATACCTAGAGCTAGTTGGCTGCCTCATGTACCTGATGACCTGCACTCGACCTGACCTCGCGTACCCTCTTGGCCTTCAGGCTCGCTACGTGGCTCCTGGTCGGCACTGAATGGTGCACATGGATGCTGCTAAGAGGGTACTGCGCTACTTGTGCAGTACATCGGGCATGGGGCTCGTGCTTGGAGGACGGGGCGACGTTGTCCTAACTGGTCACTCGGACGCTTCTTGGGTTGACGACTAGGCTACGCAGCGGTCGTCACAGGGTAACACCTTCAGTCTTGGCTCTGGCTCTGTTTCTTGGCGGTCTACGCGCTCGTCTTCTGTTCTCGGCTCCAGTTGTGAGGCTGAGATCTACGCCACAGCCATGGGTGCACAGGAGTTACGCTGGCTCACCTACCTGCTGACTGACTTGGGAGATAGGCCTCGTTCTCCTCCAGTTCTGTACGTCGACAACAAGGCAGCCATTGCCTTGTGTCAGGAGCACAGACTGGAGCACAGAACGAAGCACATCGCTCTGCGTTACTTCCTGGCTCGAAAGTTGCAGCAGCGGGGTCAGCTTCGTCTTGCTCACGTGGCCACTCGGGCCAACACTGCTGATATATTCACCAAGGCACTTCCGTCTGGTGATCATTAGCGCTTTTGTACTTTGTTGGGCCTTGTGCCTACGTTTCCACACTTGCTGTAGACTCTGCTTGTACTGTGATCTATATATATATATGTATACCTGCATGCTTGCTCTTGCTAGGTAGAGATCATTGTACTGTTCTTGTTGCATATATACCTCTACATGTGAACTGGCCTTGTGGCCTTTTTGCTTGTGCTCAGTGTGCGTGGTGACGTAGTGATCCACCCTGAGCTTGCTTTGCTTTTCTTGACTGGTCTTGTGACCTCTTGCTCTCCCCCACTTTGCCTATGGGGGTGTGTCAAACATATGCATATGTTATTTTTGTTGGTAGGCTGTAGTGGGGTAGATAATGTGGGGTATAAACCCTTAGGATTTTCTCCTTGTACCAATCCTCTCGATAGTCAACTCATTCCTACCTAGTTTATGAGAACTGGATGGTCTGATTCGTCAGACTAATCAGACTATTTAGTCTAATAGCGTCAGCCCTGGGCGTGGCGAGGCGAGCGGAGCCGCGACGAGGGGAGGCTCCCAGAAACGAGGGCCCGCTTCCGGGAGGCGTGACGATGGGACAGGGGGCGCGGCGAGGGGAGACGCAACGACAGGAGGCGAGGCACAACAACTTAGTTTATGTGTGGGTGAAGTTTTTAAATACTGCGTGTTTTATGCTGCGATGAGCTGTCAGGATGTTTCCTTACTACTAACACAAGGCTGGTGAGCAGGGCTCTCGTTATCAGACCAATTTGGTCTGATGGTCTGAGTTTAAGACTTGATTTTTTGTATTCATCTGCTTCCTAAGAATCTGTGTTTGTTCTCATCTGATCAGTAAGATAAGCGTTTTAGGTTCGTATGATTTTTCCAGACGTGTAGAATTCTTAATCTGAATATACAGATATCAAGTTCGGTTTCATCTGAAACCGACATCTTGACCCACTAGGCCATATGCCCAGTGGACCAGAGAATAGGACCACAGGTATAGCCATTTGCTGCTCTGTAACAGCACGCGCATTCAATACGCGTGTCTTATAGCAGCCTCGCTGTCATGTAACTGCGGCATATGCTGCCAGGAGTTTGTCGTGTGGCTGGCTGTCAGCGCCGACGCCAGCCACATCCACGGCAACGCGTTGTCCCGTTGTGCCACTGCCAGCGCATTTGCATTTCCTAGACGTCACGCAACATTGCACTGTGGTCGTAGTGCCCCCCGCTCCCAACACGCAGCGCCTTTTGGTTCTGAATGCAGTGCACGGTGATGGGGTTTCATGCAGCTGGGTGAGGCTTGAAAACAAGCCTGTTTCTCCTGCTTGTCCTCAACTCTCACTCAGCCAAGCATGGACCGTATCCCTCCCAGCGTCTGTTTTCCCAGCGTTTAGACTATGGCCGTCCCCGCCGGCGGACCATGCGATGCGGAGCCCGTGCTTACGGCGTTAGACTTCCTAACACGGGGCAAGCAGATCGCTTCTGTTGCCCCACCGATTGCGTCGACCTCTGCTGCGGTCCCTTTGCCCGAAGGCGATGCTCCAATCTCGGTAAATGGCGATCATTCCGTGCCATCAACCGCTACCCCTACTACGCTAGTAACTTCTCGGATGCCAGACAACGGTGCAAATAAGAGCATCCCTGCAGTATCTGTCGCTACTACCTCTCTCAGTGCTAACCCCGTCTTGCCCGACAGATCATTAAAGAAGCGGTATAAGCAGCGGGTTCTCACCGTTTTACGTCCGGGCGGTCCGACTCAGCCAGCACCGTCAGTTCTTCCGCCTCCCGCAGAGCCTGAACCCGCGAATGAAGACTTCGAAGATCCGAAAGGCAAGCAGCTGTCGGTTGAGGAGCTTCAGTTGAAGTGCAAGCAGCAGTGGCAGCGGTATTTTCCTTGGCTTCTCATCTCCGAAAACAAGGCCGGTCGCCCCTGCATGCGCTGCAGCGTCTGCATGGTCTTCGGGGACCCCAACTACAAATACGGGCGCAACGGCGATGGTGGCATCGACATTCAGAAGCAGACGATGCGCAAGCATCACCACAGTCTGAAACATGAGGCCGCGGTCTTGAGGAAGGAGGAGCGCGACGGCGTGAAGAAAGTGCAGAAGTCCATTGCTGACTTCCACCGGGGGGACGATGATGTCAAGCGTCTTGCTCGCTTAATGGCTATCGTGTTATTCATTTGCAAGTCTGACGCTCCCATTGTGCTATTCGTGGCTTTGGTTCAGTTCATGGCAGAGCAGGGGACTCGGGATCTGCCCCTGAAGGAGAACGGGACGTACTACAGCGAGTAAGTGTCCCGTTCAAAACTTCTGCTTTGTGTTCCGTGGGTTTACAATACTAACGAGTTTTAATCACGCGTGTCTCAGGTACGGCTTCGCACAACTGGTCGAGACCATGGTGTGCTACCTGAAGTCCCGCCAGCTGAAACACATCCGCGATAGTCCGTACCTTGGCATCCAGTTGGACGAGAGCACCGACCGACGGCGGGGGAAACACATGATCGTCTATTTGACATTCATGCGTGACAACGCTCCCGTCACTGAGTTCTTCGCCTTGCTCACTGTGGATCAGTGTGACGCCGCGTCACTCACTACAGTTCTCTTGACTCATCTGGAGAGTATTGGCATCGACCTGATGCGCCTCACCGGTATGAGCACCGATGGTGCTTCTGTCATGCTTGGACAGCACAACGGAGTCACAGCGCGCCTCAAAGTCAAGGTTCCTCATCTTGTGTCGTCCCACTGCATCGCGCACAGGTAAGTTTGTTGCTTCGTGTTTTCCATACTTGTTTAAAAAAATACCCGTGCTAATGTTACGTTCCGTTGTCTTGCAGGGAGGCCTTGGCGGCCAAGGATGCTGCCACCGCGCATCCGGACTTCAACATCGTGGACAAGGTGGTCCGTGCCGTAGCAGAGAACCTTGGTCGCTCTTCTGTTAATCACGCCCGCTTTCAAGAGCTTCAGGAGGTCATTTGCGAGACCCACCTCGAAGTCCAAGGCATCAAGGACGTCCGATGGTTGTCTCGTGGTGACGCCATCCAGCGCCTGGTGAAGGTGTTTCCTGCAGCAGTGATGGTCTTGCACGAGACAAACAAGAAGATGTATCAAGTCGTAACGAGCTACAAATTCCATTTCCTGCTGTTCTTCCTTGCTGATGTCCTGAAGGAGCTCAACCTTCTCAGCTTGAAGTTTCAGCGGCGCCAGGTGAGCAGGTCTCTCGACTTACTGTTTGTTGTTTTACTATACTTTTAATAACATCCTGCTGTTGCAACCCCGTTTACAGGTCGACGCAACCCATGTGCTGCCGATGGTGCACAACACCACCTTACTGCTGCGCACACGTTACCTCGACTGTGACGACGCGACTTTTGGCCAGGGTGGAGATGCGTTGGGCCCGTTCCTCGATAAGCACGCATCAGGGGAGTTCCGTGAGGTCCTCGTTGCTGGCACAGCTTCCGACGGCACATCGGTCAGCCATCGATACCGACTGCACGAGGAGAAAATCAAGGGGCAGAAAAGTGGTGTGGACCACCAAGCGTGTTTGGGGCTGGCGCGCGAGTTCATCACGACCTTGGTTGGTCGGCTCGACTACCGCCTCAAGGATCTTTCACACCTCGACGGGGCGAAGCTGTTCAAGCAGGGATCGTATCCCAAGAACCAGGCAAAGCGTGAGCGAAGGCTAGGCCAATGGCTCCAGTCTCTGCGCAACATGTTCAAGAAGAAGCCAGAAGACCCTGATACTCTACCAGGTGCGTCAAATGCCGGGAATGTGCTGCTATAGTCTTCAGAATTCTCTTTCAGCTGCATGTTTCAACCCTTTATGATCTCCTGTCTCACTGTCCCCATGCGCACCCCAACCGCAAGCATCAACTGGGCGAGAGCGCAGAGGGAGATCATCACCTTTTCCACAATCATGGCCTCACACCAGGAGGATGTTGGGTTTGCGGACGGCCTGAAGCTCATGCTGTCCTCCCCCGACTGGGCGACATGCTACCCGAACCTCGTCCACCTGTGGATGGCCGTCGCCGTGCTTCCGCTCAGTACCGTCGAGTGTGAGCGCGGCTTTTCACGGCAGAACATCATCAAAAGCTGGCTTCGCGGGAACCTGTGCGACGCGAAGCTAGGAGAGCTGATGGCCGTCTCGCTCCTTAACTACGACATGGAGTGGCCCGAGTTACTGAGGAGGTGGAATGCTTCCAAGAAGCGCAGGCCTGCGAATGATGTGCTGATGGCGTCCGGGGAGAGACCGAGCAAGCGTGCGAAGAAAAGATCGGCCGCAGCTGCAGCAGCAGCAGCAGCACTGGCAGCAGCAGAAGCGGCTGCTCGAGAAGCGGCCCTAGCAGCAGAAGCAGCAAGGATGGATGCTGAGTACCTGTGGCTTAGTAGGAAAGAAAGGGCCACTGTCCCAGAGTCGGTGGTTAGCGAGGATGATACTGATAGCAATGAAGTGTACGGCTCTAGTGACTCTGACTAAGTCCTTTGCTACTGCAGCTAGGTTATTAGGTACTATGAGTAGACATGCTGGTAGGATTACAGTAGGTTGACTTTTAACATGAATTTTTTTTTCGTCTTATTTATCAGACTAGAAAAACTATTCCAGCTTATAATGCAGACCATGTAAATTTCGTCGTCCGAGCGTGAGACGGGGGAAAATGTTTTCAGGGTACTGTCAGACAGCCCCAAAACCTAGCGAGAGCCCTGCTGGTGAGCTTGGCTTACTCGTTTGGTTGGTTGGTTGGGTTGGTTTGTCGCACACTCACCGATGTTGAGTGACGACTTCCCAATCTCCTCGCAGCCTGATCTCGCTTTCGCCCCGCCCATGTTCCCGAAATGATTTTTTTTGCTTTTCGCCAACACGTTTAAAGCCCTTCAGAAATTTTGCCAAAAACCATGCTGACCTCGGGCTATAAGGACTTCCCACCCATCTCGACTAATCTAAGGATTGAATTTAATCTCATTGGGCCGTATTGAAACTAACTAAATGGACATGCTCTAACCACTTTATTTACAATGTCATAGGGTTTTAGCTTAGTTGCAAGCGGCGAGCGTTTCTGTGCTGTGCGGCTGTGCCGTATATGCATCTCATTTCAACCATGAACAGGGGGCAAGAAGGCCCTCACACACCAGTCTACACAACGTGGGCACACCTCTGAGCCGCTCTTGTTGGACTTGTCGCCACCCACTCCCTCTCTAACACGCCCTCCTTCCATGTCCTTCCCCTGTGCTGCTGCCTTCTCGTGCCCCTCCCTTACCGGACCCAAGCAGCTGCGTGCATTGGAAGGGACGGAGAGAGTGCCTGGTGTGGCAGTGGCATCACGGCAGGTGGGCATGGAGGGAGGGGGCGAGCGGGGAGTAACGCTGCTGGTGCAGGGGTGGCGGGGCGAGGGGCGCTGACAGGTGCTGGTGGCACGGATACAGAGAGAGGGCAGCGAGGGCGGTGGTGCGGGGCGCAGCGGTGGAGAGGGTGCATGGGCCATGCGCTCCCAGAAGAGGTGCGTGGCGCCGCGCGCCACGTGCTTGAACTGCTCGCGACCTGCAGGGCGCACACACGCAGTGGTGGAGGGGTTCACGGCACACGGAAAGAAGCTCATGGGCTGACAGGTGCTTGACATGCCACGGGGCAGCACACAAGAGCGCAGTGCACACAAGAGCGCAGTGCACACAATGGACCACCACTCCACATGTCAAGTGCTGGACGACCACTTGACGCGTACAACGGAATTCTGTACTCTCGATGTCACTTGCCATTGCCACCTGCCCCCATTTCTTACTTATCGTTTTGTTTGTATAGAGGGGATGCAGATATCGCTTCACTGCACGCACCACTGCCTCCCTCTCCTCCCTTGCCCCCTCTCTGCTCCTGCTCCCCGTGCCCCTCTCTGGTTTCGCCTCCCCACCGCCCCTCCCACCTCCACCACCCTTGCTCTCACCACTCCCACTCGTTTCATTCTTTCCTCCCTTTGTCGCACCTTTCAACGCACCCCCGCCATTGCCACAGCCTGCTTGCCCCAGCGGCACCAAGCTGCTGCTGCCTCCATCCGTGTTCCCACTCGCCCTGCCACTCCGCACGCCATACTCCTCCCCACCTCGCGCCCACGCGCTTCTTCCCACCTCGACACTACCAACAGCCTCTTCAGCCTTGGCTGCCCTTGGTCCTTGCGCCACGTTGCCCACCGACCCACCATATTCAGCCGCATCATCACCATCACAGCACTCCACTTTCACACCTCTCCACTCGCCCCCTCCCTGTGCCATCTTCTCCCCATTGCTCAGCATCCCACACCCACTCTCCCCTTCGTCACCGCCCTTCTCAGTCTTCACGATCACGGCAGTGCTGCGCACCTGCTTCGCCTGCTCACTCGCATCTTGCACCGCGCCCCGCCACTCGCCCTCCATCCTCTCCTGTTCGCTGCCACCCGCTCGCCTCTCCCTCACTCGTCGGAGCCCCCACACGCCCACCAGCCCCGCGCCTCCGTGCACGTCATCTGCCCTGTGCTGCCGCTGCTCCTCCTGCTCCCCGAACAGCGCGTCACTGCCATTCACCTGCAGCGCTCTCCTCTCAGAAGCCGCAGCACATGGGATCGTTGGGGGGCGCGCAGGGCAAAGAGGGGCGGGCGGGAGCGAGGGCACAGAAGGGGAGGAGAGGGAGGAGAGGGAAGAGAGGGAGGGCATGGCAGGTAGTGAGGAGGACGTGGCAGGTGCTGCTGTTGACCTGCAGGGCGCCACTGCTGCTGCTGACGCTGATGTCACTGCAGGCATCTTTGCGGATGGTGCTGCTGCCTGCTTGCCCGCCAGGGCACGGGAGGCAGCGAGCAGGGCAGATGACACAAGGCTGCTGCCTGCTGACGTGGATGCGCATAGTGATGCCGTGGAATTGCCATCCTTGCCACTCCTGCTGCCACTGCGGCCATGAACCAGCGCCTCACCACGTAACGGTACCAATGCAGCGCCCGCCCTCCCACCCATGGCGCCCCTCACACCTCTCGTTCCACCACCCACCAACCCAGCCCCCCTGCCTCCCTCTATCATCGCACCACCGCCTCCTGCACTCCTGCTCACGCTGCCAGCAGCGCCACTGCCCAGGGCAGCAGCAGCCATGCGCGCCCTCTCAAACTGCCGCCACGCCCTCTCATCCTCCTCCGCACCGCTCGCCCTCCCTCTCACTGTATTCGCGTTCCCCACGCCCCCCCTGCTGTGCGTGCTGCCCAGCAACCCAGCACGGCGCACAGCAGGCGGGCATGGCAGGGCGGGGCTCACAATGTCGTGGATGGATGGGGGGGATGCACGCATGGGAGGGGCGGCAGAAGCAGTAGCAGCGGCAGGGACACCCGTGGCAGCAGCTGCTGCACGCCCACCATGGGTGCCAGCGCTGCTGCTGCCGTGCTGACCTGCCACTCCCCCTGCCCCCCCTGCCGCCCACCGGCTGTTGCTCCTCAGCTGTGCCAGCTGCTGCCTCTGCCTGGCCGCCACCCCTGCTGCCAGCACGCGCAGGGCACTTGACGTGAACGCACCAGCCCTGCCTGCACCACTGCCACCGCTCCTCCTGCTGCCTGCCACTGTCCTCGCCTTCCTCCTCACTCTCCTTCTCCTCACCTTCACCCGCCGCTTCCTGCCCCTGACCACACCCCCGCCACCTGCGCCTGCTGTCGCTGCTGTCCTGCGCCGCTTCACGCGCCTGCCCCCACTCCGCCCTGCCTTGCGCTTCCTGCTGCCCGCTGCTGCCCCACTGCCCACCGCACCTGCAGGGGCGGGGCGGGCAGGCGCAGCAGCAGCAGCGGTGGAGGAGGAGGAGGGGGTGTACCTGCCAGCGCATATGCGCGCTGCTATGCTCTCGTCCTCACTGCCCCCGACACTGCTGCTGCTGCCACCATCCGCACCCTCATCACCCTCAACATCGTCCTCGGCCTCCTCTTCCCCCTCGCTCTCACTCCACTCCCCCTCATCCTCATCCTCCTCACTCGCATACTCGCCGTCCCCATCCTCCACATCCTCTTCATACTCCCACCCGCTGTCGTCGTCGCTCTCCGCCACCACAGAGCTTCCCACTCCTCGTCCCACGCCCAGCCCCATCCCCCCACCTCGCTCCCTGCTCAACCCCCTTCCTCCCCTCCCTGGCATCGCTGCCCCTTGTGCCCTCTGCGCCCCCTGCGCGCCCTGCTGTGCGTCGCCACCGAGCATGCGGGCGACAGCGGAGACGCAGGGAGGGCAGAGCCAGTCGCCGCGGGGCACGGAGGAGCCCAGCCCCACGCAGTACGTGTGCGCCGCGCCGTCACAGCGGTCGCACAGCAGCAGCACCCGCTCGTCGCCGCTGCCGCCACACTCCATGCACCCCGCATCGCTGTACGCCTGCGACGCTCCACCTGACGCTGCTGCTGCCGTTGCCAGGTCAGCTGATGCCAGCTCGGCTGCCAGCTCAGCATCGGCTTCAGTGTCCACTGTTCTCGACTGCGGGAGAGCGGAGCGGGAGGGAGCAAAAGCACGAGCGGGGGGAGCGACAGCTTTGAAGAGCCGTTGCGGGTTAGCCACGAGATGTTACAGTTGGTTGGAGGATCCTCAAAGCAAATGAACGACCATGTGTTGAGCATAGTGCTGGCACGCACGGCAGCAATCTGGGGCACAACCACTGTGCTCTCTGCTTCTCCAGACACACACCACCGCATGCCACTCCCTCCTCTCCGCCCCCCCCCCCTCGCCCCCCTCACCTGGTCCCTCAGCGGCACTCGGATCGTCACTGCCCTGGCCGACCGCCGTCTGCCGCCCGCCCCGCCCTCGCCCTCCTCG